CTGGGCATTTCAGCATTTGCTGAAATCCGAGACTCGGTGCACTCCAACCAACTGGCGTGCTGCAACTGTATAAACCCCACTTCGTGAAATGTTGGTCGAGAGGGCTCTTGTTGATTTGCTGGCCCGCCTTCACTTAGGGCGGGCACAAGGCTTGTTGGGGCCTTAGCCCAGAACATGTACATCATGGCGAGGCCCCTACTTTAGGGCTCAATCCTCACACTTTTGCCGAAATTAAAATTTTATTATTTCCTATTTTTCGATTAAAATTTTATTTAAATTCCTGAAATTCGAAATTCGTCGGGGGGGGCGGAAATTTTCTCTCTTGATTGGTGTCAAGGTCAGGTGGGAACGGGACTGTCTGTGCATTGCTTGCCTGCCCTCCCTTCTTCCCACCCCTACCTTCTCTTTCCTCCTCTCGGTCCTACAGACTGCAGTCTCCGAACACATCAGCAGAGCGACACGTCAGCAGTGACACGTCAGCAGAGTGACACATCAGAAGTGCCACGTCAGCAGAGTGCCGTGTCAACAGAGTGCCACGTCAACAGAGTGCCACGTCAACAGAGTGCCACATCAGCAGAGTGCCACGTCAGCAGCAAAGTGCAGCCGGACACTAAATGCGCCGCAGCCAACGATTGGCAGATCGCAAATCCAAGGCAGCCAAGCCCCAACAGGGACCCAAGGCACTGCAGATCCCGCGCAGGCGACGCACAGCCATGGCTGCAGCAGCCGGCCATGCCGACAGCAACATGCCAGGCAGTCCCAAGAGGCTGGTTCCCCCTCCTGTGGCAGTTCAACGGGCAGATGAAGACGCACTCACGTTTCTCGAGAGTCTCCAACAGTATACGGAGGCCAATGCCACCGAACTCCGCACATGGGAGAAGGAGAATGCCGCCCGACGGGAAGCCATCCGACTCCAACAAGAAGCGAAACAGGCAGCACGTCCGCAGGCCGCTGCGGACTCTGCGGCAGCCGCACGGCAGCAGCAGCAGCAGCTCGAGGCAAGTCAGACTCAGGCTCGGTTCCAGGCTGCCATGAACCTTCTCAACGAAGAAGCCGCATACGACACAGTAGTTCGACAACAACACTTCCGAGCAACTGAGGAGCAAGAAGAACCAACCGAGGAAGAGAGAAACAGGGAAACTACAGCAGTCTTAATTGAGAACCTGTTGTACACGTGCAATTGGCAGCAACGTGAACTGTTGGCTATGCGGCAGGTCCTCATCCGCCATGAAGGCAACTTCAAGGCTATGGATCAGCACATCACTGCCCTGCAGGCCGACACCGGCATTCTGCAGGCCGCCGACAGCCAACAGCAGGCCATCAACGACCGACTGCAGGACTCCGTCGATGCCGGGATGGCACAACTGTCCGTAGTCGAGTCAACGGGCGGTGCCGTTTCAGACAGCAGCCCCGCTTTGGCCGCTCAAGCCAAACAGCTCGATGAGCGGATCAATCACATCGTCACATCCCTTGGCGACATCAGCAAGTTTGCCGGAACCTCGACAGACAGCAGTCAATTGAAGACGCTCAACGAGCAAGTCCAGCAACGCGCAGCCGCCAAGGAATGGAAGATGCCGAACTTCAAGATCGAGAAGTTCGACGATTACCACAAGAAGGATCCGCTGCAATGGTGGATGGCGTTCAACGCGGAGGCCGACGTACATCATACTCCGCCCCTACGGCGGATGGAAGCATTGTACCTCCAACTTATAGGCGGGGCGCAAGCATTCATGACGCACATGGCCGTCACGCTCGAATGTACCATCGCCACCCTCCAGCCGTGAATCTCGAATGTACCATCGCCACCCTCCACACGAAGATCACGTGGGAGGAGTTTGAAAAAAAGTGGAAGACCCGGTTCATGGTGAACAACGACAAGCGTCACGCCTTGAACAAGATCTTCCGCATCTTCCAAGGCCAGCAACCTTCGCGGGAATGGCTGACGGAGTGGCAAAGACTCGTCGCCACCCCGGAGTTGAACCTACCGTTCGACTCAATCCAAGGCGAGTTCTTCGCCCGATCTTGCGACGCCTTGACGGCTGCTCTCGGCAGTGAATTCGAGTATAAGAACTTTGACGACATAATCGCCAAAGCTAGAGAACTTATACAAGGTAACCGGCGTGCGGTTAGCGAGCCCCGCCAACAGCCCGGTTACGTGGAGAAACGCAAGGGACAACGAACACCGGAAGTAGCAGCAGTCCAGCAAGGAACAACTGAGGACCACGCAGCCGCTTCAACATCAAGTGATGGAGATGTGGTGGCAGCGATACCACCGCGACGCACGAAACCCCGAGGGGGAAAGAAGGCGAAAGAAGCGTCGACGGATGGAGCATGACAAGCACCATGGACGAAGTTCGGCATCACCGAAGAAATGTTCAAATTACGGCAGAAATGGGAATGTTGTTTGTGGTGCAACAGCACCAAACACGTCATCTGCGCCTGCCTCGACAAGGACAAGGAGAATGTCAAACGTCCGGGGCTCGGGAAACTGAGCACCGCGGGAAGTGTCACGACAACACTTCCCAATCCGCCGGGGTCGGCTGCCTTGCTAGCAGCCTCTCTCACATCCGGGGACACCGCGGTAGTCGCAAGTTCTCGCATTGAGTTTGAGAACTATGTTGTCGAGCTGGTCCCACTGTTGAACCAGCCCCTCCACATGCAAGATTCAAGCGTATGCGTGGCAGTTCCGTCGTCGGACAACGAACCGGTTGCTTCGCCAGCCCTTCCAACGGAGGACCCGTCAACTTGGACGAGACTTGAGGATCTCGACCCGTTGACGGTTGAGGACTTCCAATGGTTGCCTCTTCCCTCCACCGGTTCTTTGCCAGTTTCGCATCGCAATGCCTTAATGGCACATCTACTCGAATACTTGCACGCTGCAGTACCACCTCCGTTGACGGACAGTGGAGTAGCGGTTGTTGATCTTCATAACTATCTTGCGAAGATCGACCGCGAGTACGCAACGCAACGGTATGTCGACAACGACACGCCGCTCCTCTACATCCGCATCTAGATCGGAAAGGCGACCTGCAGTGCCTTGATCGATTGTGGAGCGACTTGCAACTACATCAGCCAAGACTTCATGGCACGCGTCAGGCTTGGCCCGCGCGTTCGAAGGAAAAGTCGGCCTACGCACGTCACGTTGGCCGATGGTCACACGCAAAAGTCAATCGACCGATGCGTTGACTCGGTGCCCGTATACTTTGCCCCGCTAGCATGCGAGGCCGTGTCTTTCGACATATTGGACACCAAGTTCGATACGATCCTACGCATGTCGTGGCTGCAAAGCGAAGACCATCCGGTGAACTTCCATCAACGCACCGTTCACGTTCGTGATCGGCTCGTCGAACTAGTCCCGTGTACGGTGCCGCTTCCTCATCCTTCGATTGGTTGTCACGTGGTATCCGCGGTGAACATTCGCCAATCCATCCGGCGGAACGACATCGAGGAAATGAGCATATGTTTTCTTCACGCCCTCCCACCTGGTGATCAGCCCCAGACGGATATGTCGGACCCACGCATCATTGAGCTGTTGGACAGCTATGAGGATGTCTTTCAAGCTCCCGCCGGACTCATATCGGATCGGCCCATACGCCACGGGATCACTCTCGAGGACGGCGCCGTACCTCCGCGCGGATGTATCTACCGCATGAGCGAAGAGGAACTTCAAGTGCTTCGGGCACAACTAGACGACCTCTTAGCCAAGGGCTGGATTCGCCCTAGCTGTTCGCCATACAGTGCTCCCGTTCTCTTCGTCCGGAAGAAGAACAAGGACCTTCGTTTGTGCATCAACTATCGGAAACTTAACGTGCAAACGATCAAGAACGCCGACCCTCTCCCTCGGATCGATGATCTTCTCGAGCGACTAGGCGGGGCCAAGTACTTCTCAAAGCTTGACCTCAAGTCCTGATATCATCAGATTGAGATCCAGCCAAGAGACCGGTACAAAACCGCGTTCAAGACACGATATGGGCACTTTAAGGATCGTCATGCCTTTCGGTCTCACCAATGCCCAGACTACTTTCCAAGCGGCCATGACGACGGAATTCCGCAACTTACTCGACCGCACCGTGCTCATTTACCTTGATGATATCTTGGTTTATAGTCGGACGCTGGACGAGCACCTCGAGCATCTTCGCGCCGTTTTGGAGCGGCTTCGTATCGCCAAGTACAAGGCAAACCGCGACAAGTGCGAGTTTGCCCAGCAAGAGCTCGAGTACTTAGGCCATTACGTTACGCCGCAAGGCATTCGTCCGCTCGCGGACAAGGTACAAGCGATTCAAGATTGGTCGGACCTCAAGTGTACTACCGACGTCCGCTTTGTCGCGACTTCAATCCCCCTTGGTGCCCTTCGAGTTCAGCGCCGAGGCCCGGCATGCGTTTCACACGCTGAAGACGACTTTGCTCCAAGCTCCCGTCTTAAGCATCTACGACCCGACTTTGCCCACCAAAGTGACTACGGACGCTTCTGGCTATGGCATTGGCGCGGTTTTGGAACACCATGACGGCACAGACTGGCATCCGGTTGAGTACTTCAGCCAAAAGGTGCCGCCCATCAACACTCCTGATGATGCGAGGAAGAAGGAACTCCTAGCTTTTGTCACTGTACTTAAGCGTTGGCGTCACTTTCTCCTCGGGCGTCGACGATTCACGTGGGCAACAGACAACAATCCGTTGACGTACTACAAGACGCAAGACACGGTGAGCAGCACGATTGGTCGGTAGATGTACTTCAATGACCAGTTCGACTTCACCTCCAAGCACATTCCGAGCCCCTCGAACAAGGCAGCGGATGCTCTCTCGCGAAGACCTGATCTTTGCGCCTTGGTGCACTCCACATTCGGCCTCGACGAGAACCTGCAACAGCACTTCGTAAACGGCTACAAGTCGGATCCGAGATTCTCCACACTCTATGCGGACTTATCATCGGACCAACCGCCGGCAAGCAATTATTGCATTGTCGACGGCTACTTGCTTCTTCATACACGAGGCAAACACTTGTTGTGTGTTCCCCAAGACCGCATGTTGCGCACTCGCCTCCTCGGCGAATACCATGATTCGCGGCTGGCGGGACACCTTGGCGTCGCACGCACACTAGCACGACTCCGCCAGCGATTTCACTGGCCGGACATCATCGGCGACGTCAACCGGTACATTCAATCATGCGCAGTTTGCCACCGGAACAAAGGGCGCCATCAGCTCCCTTGCGGCGAACTGACACCATTGCCGATTCCTCGAGAGCCGGGTCTCTCCATTGCTATGGATGTGACCGGTCCTTTCCCTTGTGATCGCCTTGATCATGATGCTATTCTCACGGTCGTTGACCGTTTGGGCAAGTACGCACGATTTCTTCCATGCAAGTATCATGCGACGACTCCCGAGCTCGCACGACTTTTGCATACCGGCTGGTTTTGCATCCACGGCATTCCGGAAGATATCGTCAGCGAGCGCGACACTCGTTTCATGTCGGCCTTTTGGACGACACTCATGATGGAATTCGGCACCAGCATGAAACCGAGTTCCACACGGCAAACAGATGGGCAAACGGAACGTGCGCACCAGACTGCGCAGATGATGCTCCGCTCACTCATCCGCCCAGAGCAGAAGGACTGGGTTGACCGCCTTCCCGACATTGAGCAGAGGGAGCATTTGGCAGATCGATCTACTCCTTCTGCGATCTATTCTCGGGTTATGATGAGATACCTTTGGATCCTAGAGATAGGCACCTTACTGCCATGCATACGCCTCTCGGACTGGTACAGATGATGGTTGTGCCGATGGGTTCGACCAATGGGGTTGCGGTCTTCCAGAGAGTTATGGTAGTTGTTCTGAAAGACTTCACTCCTGATAAAAGTATTTTTGGACGACTTCCCGATAAAAGGGCCCGTACTGAAAGACGAGACGGAGATTGCTCCTGGCGTCAGGAGATTCGTGGAGCAGCACTTGACAGACATCTACGCAGTCCTGGAACAGCTAGATGATGCTAATCTAACGGTCAGTGGGACGAAAAGCCGGTGGGCAGTCTCGTCGATTAAGATCTTAGGGTTCATATGTGATTCGAGGGGACGCCGAGCAGACCCAACGAAACTAGATAAAGTCTTGAACTGGCCAACTCCGTTGCATAGCGCTACCAAGTTCGCCAATTCCTAGGAGTTATAGGTTACTGGCACATCTTCATACGTGGTTACACGGAGAAGGCGGAGCCTCTACGGATTCTCCTTAGGAAAACTGAGCGATTTTACTAGGATTCTCTTAAGGAGCTCGTGGTATTAACCCTCTAAGGAAGAATTTAAAAAACGGGGACGAATCCTAGGTGTACCTTGCTTTGAGGACGAAACCAATAGACCCTTCATAGTGTCTACGGATGTTGGGCCATGTTCAGTTGGACGACTGCTTTCTCAAAAGGACGCTGACGGTAAGGAGAGGCCGCTGAGATTCGAGAGATGGACGCTTAACACCGCTGAACGCAACTACAGTCAATTCAAGAAGGAGGTGTTAGCTGTCTTACGGTGCTTAGACGCCTTTAGACACTACATATACGGGAAACGATTCGTCCTACGTGTAGATCCTACCGCTGTGGCGTCAGTTTTCAGAAAGACTTCAGTCTGACCGATCCCACTATTGCGCGATGGTTGATCAAGATTCGACTCTACGATTATACTGTTGAAAGGATCTCGAACACGAAAAATGCGGTAGCCGATGGACTCTCACGGATTCCAATTGAGGCGGAGCGCCCGATAGTTGTTGCGGCACTGACCATGACTTAGCCTAAACGAACGGATCGCTTCCTAGTCAACTTTTATGAAGGTAAGTACCGGACGATCGGATTGCATCTCTCAGGAGAGGAGAGTGCAGATTTAGAGATCAGGAGACAGGCGGCTCAGTACTGCCTTAGATCTGGACATTTATTCCGTATACCCATAGGGTCAGGGATGCCTCTCCGAGTAGTCTGTGACCCCAAGGAGAAGCAGGCAATAGTAGTGGAACTTCACGACGGCGTAGTAGGTGGGCATAGAGGAGTAAAAGGGACATTTGAGAGGTCTGCACGCTATATTGGTGGGAAGGTCAGTACAAAGGCGTTGAAAAGTAATGTGTGACGTCTGAGGAATGTCAGAAGAGATCCCTTGTAAGGTACAAGGAGCTGCTTCATCCATCCTATCCGACTAGACTAGGCGAGAAAGTACATATTGACCTAGTGAAGATGCCGAAGGGGGTAGGGAATATGAACTATGTCGTGAACATCAGAGATGACTTCACTGGGTTTGTCGACGGAAAACCTATCAGAACAAAGGCAGCTAGAGAAGTAAAGAACTTTGTTCTTGAGTATCTATCTAGGTATGGGTGTGTTAGAAGGATTGTGATGGATAGAGGAGCGGAGTTCCTAGCGGATGAGGTCCAAAATGTGTTCAAGAAAGCGGGAGCTGGAGTATCGATAGCCACTGCCAACCATCCTCAATCCAACGCACCTGTAGAACGAGGCCATCAGTCATTGATAGCGTCACTGACAAAGCGGTGTAAAGGTAAAGATAGCGACTGGCCGAAATACTTCTGATATGCCATATGGGCAGACAATGTTACGGTCTGAGCTAGCACGGGATACCCGCCTTACACTCTATGGTTTGGTAGGCACTGTCCTCTACCCATAGAGTTTCATGTTAATAGTTCGACTACAGTTGACGGGGCCGAAAATATGTCGTGAGAGGAGCTTCTAGCGGCCCGGACGAGACAGATAGCCTACGGGTTAGAGGACAATCTCATGACTGCGGCCAATCGATTTGCGGTGGAAAGGGAGAAAGGCAAGGAAAGATGGGACAAGGATGTCAGGATTAGAAAGGAGAAGACAATTGTAGGTGATATGGTGCTTCTCTACGATGCAGCATTAGAAAGGACATGGTCGGGGAAATTGGCGAACAGATGGATGGGACGCTACCACGTAGTCGGCGCGCTCAGCTGGGGAGCATATATGATTGCTGCATTAGATGGGTCTAAGTGTAAGGATCCTGTGGCAGGAGTTAGACTGAAGTTGTTCACCCCGAGGGAAACCCCTACCCCTGCACTAACTCTGCCAGATCCAAAAGGGAAGGAGAAAGCCAAGGTGGCAGATGAGGAACCATCGAGACGGTTCAAGGTAGGTGAGAGTTTGAGGAAGAGAAAGAGAGTGGAGACCAAGAAAATGAGTGGCTTAACGCTGGGAAAGAAAAGGAAATGGCCTTTTGTGCTGCAGAGAGTCCGCGATGAGGCGGGGCATTTGCGACGCTGCCACTCCAACGAAGAAAGAAGCTGAGAAACATTCGAATATCTAAAGCCCAAAGAGGCAAGAAACACCCTCTCAGTCCTAGAGTCAATGAAAAACCTAAGCACAAGGCAGATAAGCACAGACATAAGAGGCACTCGCGTGTGGTCGCCCTAAATCTTATACGAATCGTCTCATCAAGACGGAGCGGGCGTGACGGGGGCGTCGAGAAGAGGTCCGGGCTTGTTTGTCGGGCGGCCGAGGACCGGTCGGCCACCCGAAATACACGGGATTGGGCCTTGGGATAAGTGCCTACAGGAAAATCGTCCGGGACTTTCATTCGAGTCGTTGGGAGAAATTAGGGGTCCGAAAGGTACGCGTAAAATCCCCCATATCAATTATTAAAACAAACCCTTGAAATCGACATGTGGACGACCGCCCGCCGCGCCTAACGCCTACCATTTTTGTCCGTTCCGAGGTTGTTCCCGAAGCGGCCGCTTGTGGTGCGGAGGTATGGCATTAGGCCTCGGCGCGCCCTTTTTACACTAGGCAATTGACGAGGAAATGAACCCTCAAAATTTTATTGATTCTACCAACAAATTTAAAATTGAAAAAAATAATTAAAAATAATAAAAGAAAAGAAAACACGAATATTTATTATTTAATTGAATTTATTTCAGGATTTATCCTTGATGGAATTGTCCTTGATCTTCATCGATTTTGATAATTGCAAGGAACATGAATGTGGACGAAGCACAGAAATCCAAATTGCAACATCACACCGAAGTCCAAGTAGTCAATGCAAGAGCAGATAGCACAGTTGAACCAAGAAACCATCCATTTGAGAACGATATAGCCAAATCGTGAGTCAATGTCCAAGCCCAATCGGACAAAACCAACAACATAACCCAATGTAGCTCTCTCTCTTGAATGGCGCCAGGCGCCCTATCTACTCTACAGCCTATCCCTACAACTACAACATGAAAGCAACCAGACAACTTGATGACCACCGAGTGATGACGTCAACACCAATGCCGACCTCCTCTCCACCAGGTACGCCTCTTCTTCTCCCTCACTCTCCCTTGTTATCCCACACAGCGCCCTTCAACTTCCGAAGAGCCACCTTCACCCTCACCTCCTTCTGCACCCACAGGCAGCCCGACTATGGCCGCCAGCGCCCTGCGCCCAGGCTGCGCCCTACCGCTTAGCGCCAGCCTACCTTCACCTCAGCCTAGCGTAGTGCAGCACCTCGCAGTGCTTCAGCGTGTCCGCATTGCTCGCAATGGCCAAGATGCCTGCCCACTCGCCTATTCTGCCTATATGCCAGTGTTGCGTGTGGGCGGTCTGCCTTGAGCCTGCGCCTGGGCCCCAGTACCTGTACACAGGCCCAATGCAAATGGGGCCCAGGTAATACAGTTGCGCCCCTTATGCTAGGGCCGTTATCCAGATTCAGGCATAAACAAAAAATTGTTGAGATATGTTTCCCATTGGTTTCCTCGGCCTCTACGACGAAATACTGCTTTTCTGAGGCCAGGGACCAATGTGTGATGTGTCGGCCTCCCAAATTGTCACCCGGGGCTCAACTGCTTGTAAAGGAGTCTGAGGCTCACGATGCACTCCAACCAACTGGCGTGCGGCAACTGTCTGATACCCACTTCGTGAAATGATGAATGAAGGTCTCTTGTGAATATTCTGGCCCGCCTTCACTTAGGGCGGGCACGAGGCTTGTTGGGGGCCTATGCCCAAAACATATGCATGTCGGCAAGGCCCCGTTGAGGGCTCAATCCTCACATTCCATCCCCCTTAGCTTCAAAGTCCACGGAGATGCTTACTTCGCAGGTGCCTGCCCTTTTAACATCCTCTCATATTCTGCCACCACTTGAGGAGCCGTGTCAATCAGTTCCTCTCTGGTGAACCACCATCTTCCTTTGGATCCGTATGATGCCTGAATCTGACGTGATATTCTCTCTTGGGTTTGGGAGGTCTTCCTCGACCCAGTGGCTTTGGAACAGGCATGTCTCTGTGATCCACAATGTCGTCGATGTCCACTTGGCCATCCATGGTTGGGGGCAGCATCGATCTCCTTGAAGGGAATTGATCTGTCTCAGCGAAAGGTGCAAGCTTTGAGGCATGAAAGACAGGGTGAGTGCGCAGGCGTCCAGGGATTCGGATAACGTAGGAGGGACCATCCAAATTAGTACCTTACTACATCCACCACTTCCCAAGGACCGAAATGCTGTGGCATTAGTTTTCTAGAGATGTCGAACTCCTGTCCTAGCTCACTAGCCTTTACCCAAACACGTTCCCCTACCTGAAATGTGGACTGTCGACGATGTTTGTTCTCAGAAGCAATCATTGTTTCCTGAGATTTCTTGATGTGCTCGATAGCTTGCTGCAACAACTTCTCGTACTGGATACCATATTCTATGGTCCCAGGGTTTGCAACAGATCGGTTTTCAGGCAGGAGGAAGTCTAGAGCAGATCTAGGCTTCCATTCTAAGTGCAGTTGATTGGGACTGACGCCGGTAGTGTTGTGCACTGCGTTGTTGTACAGACTGGCGATGAGAGGCAATTTCTCATCCCAGTCATCTTGGCTGGGCTTTATGTAATGCCTCAACAGATGTTGTACAACCCGGTTCATTTGTTCGGCCTGTCCATTGGCTTCGGACAAGTGCTTTGTAGAGAGCATAGAGATCCCTTTCATAGGTGGACTTTGCCACTTTCTTTGATGGCATCTTTTTGCTCATATACTCAATCGGTCTCAACTTCTTCCCATCCTGTTGAGCCAGCACTGCGCCAATGCCGTATTGGCTTGCATCAGTGGTCACAATGAACGGCTTTTGAGGATCGGGCACCATGAGAACCTCATGATTCATGAGTGCATGCTTCAGTCGTTTGAAAGCAGCCCCGCACTCATCATTCCAGTCCCACGGCGTGTCAAATCGAGTTAGATCAGTCAAAGGAGAGGCAACTGTGGAATAGTTTTTCACGAAGTTCCTATAGCAGCCGCGCATTCCTAAGAAAGATCTGACCTCGGTAACAGTCTGAGGTCGTAGCCAGTCCCTGATACTAGCCACCTTCGCATCTTCCGGCCTAATTCCTTCCGCGGATACTTCATGACCCAAGTACAAGATCCTAGTGCGTCCAAACTCACATTTTTCTAGGTTGACCTTATACTTGTGTTGTCGCAGGAGTGAAAGTACAGTCTCAATGTGTTGTGCATGCTCCTCGACAGACTTACTAAAAATAAGAATATCGTCAAGGTACACGACGACAAACTTATCTAAGTAGTCATGGAAGATCCTATTCATGGCGTGCTGGAATGTACCCGACGCATTGCAAAGGCCAAAGGGCATTACTACAAACTCATACAGACCGTATCGGTTCCGAAAAGCAGTTTTGTGCTGATCCTCAGGTCTTATAGCAATCTGATGGTAGCCGGACTTTAAATCTATCTTGATATAGTACTTACATCCCTGCACCCTATCCAATAGGTCGTCTATGCGAGTTAAGAGGTTCTGCGTTTTTCACAGTGATGGCATTGAGGCCTCTGTATTCAATGCACATCCTCAATGTTCCCCCCTTCTTCGGTACAAATAACACTGGAGATCCGAAGGGGGAAGTACTTGGCCGTATCCAACCCTTCTCTGTAAGCTTTTCCAGTTGTTGTCGAAGCTCGTCCAACTCGGCCGGAGCCATCCTACAGATCCTTCCCTTTGCGGTTTTACTCCCTGGAATGATTTCTATGGCGTGGACAATCTCCCTTTCTACGACTCTTGTAGGCTTCTCAAGCAGATCAGGGAACTTAGCAACGACGTGTTCTAACTCTGGGGGTGATTTAACGACCTCCCCTTTCTCAGAGAGATACACTAGGTACATACCCTCCTCTTGGTTTTGTTTATAGTAATTGTAGAACGTTGATGCCACAAGCAGCCATAGGATTCTATTAAACTACTAGCTTTATACTTGGCCAGTCTCACGGTCCTTCTATCCGGCAACTTATGCTTTAGAACCTTATTGTCCCACTCAAACTGGGGCTTGGCAACCTCAAGGTAGTACATTCCTAACAGCATATCAAATGGTAAGTCGTCGCCAACCAGGAACGAAATCTTGTGATTAAATTCCCTCCTCCATAGGAGCCGTAAGACTACATCCTTGATATAGTCTGTGACAACCATGCGCTCCTTATTGGCCAAAGTAGATGCTACCGGTCTACTAAGGTGTTGTACCGGATCCTTCAGGTGCAGCCTTTCCAAGCAGTCATGAGTTATGTAATTCCGCGTGGAGCCGATGTCTATGGAGGCTGCACATTTGCGGCCTCCTACAACAGCTTCCACTACGAAATGTTCCCCCTAGGACCTTTACTTAGTGCCACCCAAGATTCGCGAGGGTCCTTGCTTGACCACTCACTTTTTAAATCTTCTAAGGCTTCGGACACATCCACGTGGCGAGCCTTGCTGACCAGTAAGGTCCTGAAATTCTCAGGCACACATCTCAGAAACATTGTCAATAAGACCTGGTCATCGTAGCGTATACCGGGAAAGACGATGAGGTTCTCTACGGTAGACGTTAGCTTTCTGACTGACTTATACTTTCGTTGGTCCAGTCTCAACATCGCATCAGTGGCAATTTGTGCCTGCTGCGGATTGTGCCAACAAGCTTCTACCATATCTAAGAACTCTTCTAAAGTGAGGGTCTTACCCTAGTCTGCCATGCGTCGTCCGAACCCGGCCTTCGCTACTATCCCATCTAGCCATTTGGCTGCCTTACCTTGAAGGTAAGATGCAGCAGTAATCACCTCCTCCTCCTGCAACGTCCTCTTTGCCCTTACCCATATTGGAACCGTTCTCAACCAAGTGTTGAGTTCCTCGTCCTTCTTCTCACCGGAGAAGGCTAGGGGCGGTTTCATTGGGGTCTTTGGGTATCATTGACCTTGTTGCTGTCCCTATGGTGGAACAGATTGTTGCGGTTGTGGTGTAGCTCCAACCGCTGGACCAGAAGAAGAAGAAGCAACAATCTGTGCGGCTGCTGCAGACGTACCACTTGGTTGTGTGCCAGCTTGTACAGGAAAAGGGTCTAACATCGCTGTTAACGGCAACGGCGACTGTGCTGCTGGCTATAATCCTAGCC